CTTGGTGCCAGTGGTACCTTCCCCAGGTGTGAAAATTAAAAATGTCTCTAGCCATCTTGAGGGCCCAGGGGGCTGAAAACCACTGTTTTACAGGAAAACGGCTGAGAGTCCCAGCTGGACTACTGGGGTCCTCTCCTCGCTACAGCTCAGCTGGTGAGGCAGTAGTCTTCCCTTCCCCACCTGCTCAGGGCAGTAGCCCCTCCATGCTACTGCTCCTGCAAATCACCCATGCAAGCACCAAGGGTGTCAAGCTAGGAGCGATTAGTTAGGTGGATATTTTGGGGGATGTGGAGGGGTTGAGGGGCAGTATTTGAACTAGGATAATGAAAAAGTCGGGGGGGGGGGTAAGGGGAAGGGGCAGAGCCAAATGGAGTTTCCCACCTTCATGCATCCTTCTGACCTCTGGCACCAGGAGGTCTCAGATATGACTGGGCAGGGCCTTCTTTCCTCCTGGGGTATTGTGAGCTTTCTGCCCATTCCCTCTTCTGCACTCTTCCAGCCAGCAAGGGTGAGGTGCTCAGTGGGGACCAGGGCTCTGGAGCCAGGGAGTGCTGTATTGAGAAGGGAGAAGTCTTGGCAGCAGAGGAGGGAAGGTGTGGAGATGCACCAAGGGGCACAGGCAGCTTCCTGATTCCATGACCTTGAATATAACCCCCCCATTCTATTTTCTCTTTACCACCTTTTTGACCTGCATTTCCCCATTTTACCCATTTATTTGTTAAATGGGTATAGACCAAATACCTATTGTATGTCTAGCACTATATTAAGCCCTTGGGGTGTGTTTATTTGTTTTTGAGCGATTCTTTTCCGTTTTTATAAAAGATTTTTATTTACTTATTTGACAGAGAGAGAGAGAGAGAGCAAGCAGGGGAAGCGGTAGGCAGAGGAAGAAGCAGACTCCCTGCTGAGCAGGGAGCCCCAAGCAGAGCTCACCCCAGGACCTGGGGATCATGACCTGAGCTGAAGGCAAATGCTTAACAGACTGAGCCCCCCAGGGCCCTGAGTGATTCTTCTTCAAGGTGGGATTAAGGACAATACTATATAGTTGTAAAACTATCATGTGTTTAGTTAGACAACTAATATACATACACAGAGCTGCAGAGGCACTCAAGCCATATATGTAAATGCTGAGGGAAGGTGTAATGAATGAAACACAATTTCTTAAAATATTCAACAAATGGGCTTCATGAACTGATAAAAGGGCAGAAAGAAAATTCAGACCAAACAAAGAGCACCGCAATCCTGTTACATCTCTAGGCTGGCACTGCCCTCCAAGGGCATGTGGGCCAAAGCACATGTTCAATAAAAGGGGCTCTTTCCCCAAATGGAATAAATCTGACCCCTTCTCACTCTGATTCTACGTTTTCTTCTTGCAATTTGTGGGAATAATCCATTTCTTTTGTTCTTGTCAGGGATGCTGAGCCTGATACCTGAAACCAGTTAAAAGACACGCCTTTTCACAGTGGGCAGGTGCAGAGGAGGTTTGTGTGGGGCAGGCACACAGAGTCATGGACTGTCACTTGTCCAAAAACCAGCAAAGCCAACAAAACTCTCCTGCCAACTATCCAAAGGCAACCCCAAGAGCCACGCCACGTTATTGCAGTCAACACAAGCTGTTACAGAAGCAACTGTTGGTCAAGATATTGATAGGCTTCAGGAATCTCTGGGGACCAGGTACTGGGATGGGGGTGGGGTGGGGGTGGTAATTCATTTATTGTTTAGAGGAAGGGTTTGGAGATGAATAAGCAATTCTTACCTAGCAAACCTAAGTAGCATTATAAAATGAAGAATAATACCTTCATTAATTTTGGTAGGAAAGACATTTCTCTTTCTGCTTTAGGGAAAGGGATTAAAAAGCCATCCTGCTGAGCCTGAGCACAGACTCCAGAGCCAGCCCCACCCCACCCCCTACCCCCGTTGCTGTTCCAGGTTCCATCATCCATCAACTGGCTCAGCTGGGGATGGAGCCTGGAGGTTCCTGGGTGCCGGATGCCAAGTGGGGTCTCCTGGGACGTAAGTGAGCTCCCGCCTGATGGGGATTATTGGGGACAGGAGTCGATGGCCCTCGGATCCGTGCCTGGAGATTTCCCGTGTGGGCGCAAATGCTGGATCCCTAGAGATCCCGGGGGTGGGGAGGGGGGAAGCCGTTTAGTTGGAGCACACGGAGAGGCAGGGATGGTGTTTCCAGATCTGCTAACGAAGATCCATTCCCTGGCCCCTGGGATTCCTCCATTAACAGCCCTCAAGCCTTGCCGACCAAGGGAGAGCCCCCAAAGCCGCCAACACATTTCAAAATGGTGCAAAATCGCGGACATTTGGACTGCGCTTTGTTCCCGGCATTGAGCTAAATGTGTTCACTCCCGCCAAGCTCCCTTTCCCCCAACAGACAGGACGTGACCTCTCCGCCTGCGGTCCACCCCGGGCAGCTGTTGCCGTGGGCTACCGGCCGAGACCCTTGCTCTGTCCGCATCCCGAATTCCGCGTCCAGCTCTAGGGTGGACGGGTGCGAGCGGAGAAGATGCTCGAAGCGATCCTTGAGCCTCTCCTGCAACCCGCCCTCGGCGGACTCAATTCTGCAGGGACACCCCTCGCGACCCCGGGCTCCCACCTCCCATGCCACAGACAGGAAGGTTCGGCGCGGCCCCTGGTGGGCTCTTGAACCCGGAGCAGGGCCATTCCCTGGACACTCAGATCAATCTGTGCAGCTCGCGCGGATGGTTCGGCTCCGGAGATGCTCATCGGTCTCAGAACTGCGCCCCCGCGTCAGTTTTCAGCGATAGAATTAGCCAGAAAGCCACGCGGCCGCGGCTCCATGCAGGAGGGCGAGGCTCGGACCCCTTTGCCAGGGGTCCGTACCCGCCCTTTCCCGCCCCCCACCTCGTTCCTAGGGTGGCGGTGAACTCAGGCTTTTAAAAATCTTGCACGTTCCCAAAATAATACTCGGCCAGAATAATAAAAATACAAGAGACGCCGATCTGGGTGGTTGAGGCCGCCGGAGGCCAATTAGGAAGAGCCACCGGCTCAGGGTTGCGGGGAGGGGGGTCTCCCTCCTGCGGCCTCCGTCACACCGAGGGGCCGCGGCCTCGACAGCCCCTGGGGTTCTCAATCTCCAGGGAAGGGGCGGGGCAACGCCCAGAGGTCCGTTCTTGGGACGCGTGTGGTTTCTATAGCAACCTCCCCTCCGCACCCCCCCCCCAGTCAAGTCAGGAAAAATGGGTGTGGCCCGAAGCGCAGGAGGACCCCTCTTGCCCCCTCCTTACAGTCTCCCGCTCGGCGAAGCAACAGGGCAAGAAGCGGAGAGGGGCTCCGCCTGCGTGCCGTCCCCGCCACCCCCCCCGCGGGGGTAGCCGGTGCCCCCTACTGGGCAGCCGGTGGGGGGTAGCCCTCAGGCCTCTCGGGGTGTCGGGAGGGGCTTCCTCCCTCGGCGGCCACCCGCACGGAGCGCGGAGACCTCGAATCCAGGCCTCCGGCCTCGCGGACGCTGCTTGGCGCGCCGCCCGCCCCTGGGAGGGGGCCCCGCGGGGTCACGCCCATTCCATCCGTGCCCTCGGGGCTGTGACTCGAGTTCCCTGACCCCTGCAAGCCTGAGATCTAACAAAGGGCTCGAAAACGAGGGGCGGAAAATAGGGGGAGGGGCGGGGGCCTTGGTTAAACACTCTCACAGATAAGAGCCAAAAAACCAGGGCGGGCAACGCAGATCACGTAAGCCCTACAAACAAAGCGGCTAGCCCCCGAGAATGATTGGGGTGAATGCCCCAGGGCGCGAGCCCACCGCCGCAAAACGCCAAGATTTCAGCGCTGACTGCCGCCCTCCCCCCATTAATTACAGTCCCCGCCCTGTCCTCCAAAGCCCAGCCACCCGGCTTGGCACGGTACAGTAAAGACATGACACGCCGCAAAAAGATGGCACCTCGCGTTTGGAGCGGGGGGAAAGGCAGGGGTGGGAGTGGGAGGAGGCAGAGCCTACTCTCCCCCTCCTTGCCCACCCGGGTCCACACCCACTGCCGCAGTGAGGGGCGAGCCCTGCGCGCCGGCCCCGCGCCTCCGGCAGGGAGCGCACACGCCGGACGCCGGGCGCAGAGCGCAGAGAAAGGGGCCCGCCCCGAAATGCACCTGCAGCCCCCGCGCGCGTCTGTGAGGGGCTGCGGCTGCCAGCGCCAGCGAGCGGGCATCCGCCGCCGTCGAGTCCTTCCACACTGCAAGGCCAGGTGACCCCCGCCTTTCGCCATTCCGAGCCTCCACCTCGGGATCGGCGCACTACCTTTTCTCGGGCACGGCGCTGCTCGCGTCCCGGTGCCAGGCGCGCGCAGGGGGAAGGGCAACTAAAGTGACAGCGCCTGGACCCCTCCCCATCTCCCCGATTCCACTCCCAGCCCCCAAATGTCCCCTGCGGGTTTCTGAAGGAGGAAAACGGGGAGGGGGTGGGCCACCGCCTTAAATCAGAGGCAGTGAAAGCCCCATTGGAATTGCTACCGGGGAGGTGAAGGGAGGGGCAGGCAGGGAGTCATCTTTTCTAGAACCGGATCCATACCTTCCTGAAGGATTTACGGCAAACCGAGGAGGATAAATCGGATTACAGGTTCGGTTTCGGGGGTCGTCGCTGGACACCCCCCAACACACACACATAGACACACGCCCATTGCGGCAAAAGGCGACGGTCGAGAGTGCACAGCAGCCCCCTCCCCCAGGTCACCACCATCCGGGCCCCACCCTTCGGGCACAACCTCTGCCCAGGTCCGCGCGAAGCGGGTCGTATGGACACCCCCCAGCACACACACACACACGCGCGCGCGCGCGTGAGTGCATCCCTTGCATGGATCCCTTTCCAAGCCGCCCTCGTCCCAGCGCCGGAGCGCACAGGGCGCAGGGAGGAGCCCCAGCCGTGGCCCCCGACCTGTGCTTACCTCGTGAACCCCATCTCTGCCGCGGGGGACGAGGGGCGGCAGCCTGGGAGTGCAAGGAGGAGGACGGGGAGGCAGATTTAGGAGCCTCGCGCTTACCTGATAGTCGACAGAGGGCGAGGACAGGAGAGGAAAGAGAGGAGAAGGTGGCTGTGGCGGCGGCAGCAGAAGGTGGGCGGCGGCGGCGGCGGCGGCGGCGGCGGCGCTGCTGCTGGTGCGGGAGCTGGTGGGTGGCTGAGAGCGCGAGCGCGCGCACCAGCGTGAGGGCGCGCTCCCGGGGCCGGCAGGCGGCGCAGGCGCGAGCAGCGGGAGCGCGAGCCTCCCCAAGTGGGGCGGGCAGCGAGGCCTTCCTTCGCGGGCGTTTTCTCCTCCGGCCGCCAGTAGGCGCGCGCGAGCGCCCCCACCACGGGGCCCTCCCCGGCCTCCTGGCTCCGTCCTTCTGGCGCTCCCCTTCTCCCGTCTCCCCTCCCCCCCCACCTCGGGCCGCGGTGCAGGCCGCTATGCGCATGTGCGTTCCGTGGCGCACGCGCACTTGGCGTCTCCTCCCGCGCCTGGAGCCTTTGTCTTGTCAGAGGGGTCTCCGCCCTTGGGAGAGAGACTGGGTTGCCCCCTGGATTTGCCCCTTTTCCTTCCTGCCCGGGAGTGATGGCCTGTCTCGGTCCTGGACGGGTTTCCATAAAGCTCCCCAGTCGGCCCACCGCGGACCTCAAGGCCTCCCCGGGCTCGCCCTGCTCATGGCTGGCGGGGCATCCCGCCCCCTTGAGATGGGCGCCCTTGTTGGAGATTAGTTTCCCGGGTCGGCTTCCTTTCCACCTGCTATCTTTCCACCTTTGTTGTTGACCAAGGTGAATTCTTAGTAAGTCCACTTTAAACAGGCTCGGTTGTCATATAGTGCAGGTTTGGTGTTCTGTTTTTTTTTTTTTTAATCAAGGAGCATTCAAATCTATTGATCTAACCGTAATCTTAGAATAAACATTTTAATTGGACGAAGTTCCCAATAGCGCTTATCACGTTGCAAAGCATTTTCATATATAGTTTTTTTTTTTTTTACCTTGCTTGTTGAAACACCCTTAGACCGTAAGTAGAGCTTGCAATCCAAATGTCCAAGTGCCTGCTAGAGATTCTCACCTGGAGAGCACACCTCAGACTGAAACTGACCAGTGGCTTTCCTTCCCCCGGTCACCCAGCCCCCGGATTTTGGCCTTACTTGGTCTATCCAACACATTTAACTTAAGCCTTAGCAGTGGGAGGCTTTATATGGATGGGGGGGGGGGCAGCTGTCTTGTCCTAGGGGGATGGGAACTTGGCTTGAAGCTTTAATGTGCATAGCACTTCTATTCTCTTTAGCAAACCCAACATTGGATGTTACACGTTAATACAAAAAGCAGGCTTTTAAAATGCTTTATTCACACAAGATTCATATGTGATTATTGGGAGCAACGTGGGGCTAATTTCTTAAACTACTGGTTCTGAGTCTCTGGAATTGACCTTTTTGTTGTTGTTAGAACTGCTGCCACGGGATCCCTGGGTGGCGCAGCGGTTTAGCGCCTACCTTTGGCCCAGGGCGCGATCCTGGAGACTCAGGATCGAATCCCACGTTGGGCTCCCGCTGCATGGAGCCTGCTTCTCTCTCTTTCTGTGACTATCATAAATTAAAAAAGAAAAAAGAACTGCTGCCACATTAGTTAAAGAGTGCTACCTTGGTTCTGGAAACTAGTTACCTTACTGGTTGGTCTCTGTTTCTCCCTATGTCAGCCCACCCTGCATCCCATAGTCAGATCAGCCTTCAGAAGCAGTCATTTTAATCATGGCATTCTTTTGCTCAAAGACATCTGTAGGTTTCTAACTGCCCCCTAAATGAAGGTGACTCCTTAGCCTTAAACTCCTCAGCATTCAAGGAGCCCCTGTGTTCTCTTCTCTATTTAATGGCCAACTGATCTTGTTTGGCTGGCATTTCCCCACCTGTACTCACAGGTTTTCCTTTATCTACAAAGTCCTTGCTCTTTCTTCCCTGGCCAATGTCCTATATAACCTTCAAACCCTAGCTCAGATTTGACTAAAGCCTCCCCTAGTCACTCCAGCTGAAAGGGATATTTTCAACTTCTGGAAGAAGCTTAGAAAAACTATTCATCTTCTCCTGGAAAGTGGAGACGGGAGTGGAATTAATATCTATCTTATAACATTGAAGTTTTGTTATTGTCCTCAATTGTTTCCTTTCCCTTTTTCCTGTATGGAGATTATATGTCCTAGCCTGTTACCATGTGATCTGCACTGCCTCCACTCTACTTCTCCATTGATGTTTCACTTTGGCCATGTGATGGTCTTTGGCTACTAGAATTAATGGGCATTATGTAGATTTGTCTGAGCAGAAGCTTTAGGAGGCATTGCTACTTTTTATTACTTTAGCTCTTTCTTTCACCACCAGAATGACGTCCTATAGGGCTGCATCTTCAGCCTAGGTCCCAGAATGAAAAAAAAAAAAAAAAACAAGTAGTGCAGGTACCTGAGTTAGAAATAGACATTTATTGTGTAAGTCACTGGGATTTTGAGAGTTGTCACCAGAGCAAAGCCAATGATGCAGGGATTAAATGAGAATATATATAAATATATTTCTTTATATAAACTTCCTTATATATAAATTTCTTACATGATGTGTTTTTGTATGTGTGTGCATGTGTGTAAAGTTTCTTATGCAGTGCCTTACAAACAGTGGGCGTTCATTAAATGATAAATATTTTATCATCATGCTCATTGTCAATACTTTTGCTACATATGATTTTATTTCTATATGTAAAACAAGCTATAGCAGTTAAATTAACAGTCATCCTCATTCAAATTCTTGTTTCCTTTAAGCTAAAGATAATTGTGAACTGACAAGGACTTGATGACACTGTGGTGCCCTGATACTGAATGATAACATTTGCCTACATTAAATTGAAGTAGTGAGTGCTCGAAACAATTGTAAGATCTATTATTTAATTGTATATGATGTGGAGTTGGGTATTCATTCCAGGTAATTTAATCACCATGGGTAGCTAATGGCTCAGTAATTGACGCCAAGAAAATGCATCCCCTCCTTTTCTCCCTGCCCTTCCCTCTTGCTGAAATAGAAATCTCATGACCACACTCTGCCTGCCCTACAGAACCATAGAAGGTGGGATGGCATAAGGAAAGAGAACTGGATTAGGTTCCAGAAGAGTTGAGTCCTAATATTAACCATTTTGTGAGTCTTTAGACAAATTCATTAACTCCCCTGTCAGTTTCTTTATAGTGTCCTAAGTGGGATTGGATAGAACTAAGCTCCAGATACTCAAAGAATTTGGGGATTCTGCTACCAAATCTATTCGTATACTATTTCAGTCAAGGTGAACTAAGCTGCTGTAATAAACAGGCCCCAAAATATAATGACTCAAACACAACTTTACAGCCTAGGGGGCAGTGTTCCAGATAGGTAGGGCTTCCTCCACATGAGGTTCAGGAACCCAGGCTCCTTTCATCTTGTGGCTCTGCCACTCTTTAGAGCCATGTTTTTAAAAAATGTTATTTATTTATTCATGAAAGACACACAGAGAGAGAGGCAGAGACATGGGCAGAGGGAGAAGCAGGCTCCCCTCAGGGAGCCCGATGTGGGATTCGATCCCTGAACTCTAGGATCATGCCCTGAGCTGAAAGCAGAGCTTAACTGCTGAGCCTTCCAGGTGTCCCTAGAGCTTTTTTTGTTGTTTGCTTGGTTGAGGTTGGGTCATCACATACTGGGCCCAGTTGCCAGAAGGAGAAGGAGCAAATGGAGGAAGCACACTGGCTTTCTGGACATGGCATCTACTCATGTTCCACTGTTAGGGTTTAATCACATGGCCACCCCAGCTGCAAGGGAAACGAACAAAGAAGAATTGTGTACCCAAGAAGAAGAGAATGATTTGGGTAGAAGGCAATGGTCTCCACCATACACACCTTGATTTACATAAAGGGTGAAAAAGACCCCTGGGAAAAGAACCTGAACTTGTCTATCATAAGATTCTCACATATGTGACTGTGTCAGCGGACCTTGAGGTGGATAACTAGAGAAAGATGAAAGCCGAATTTCAAATTAAGTCCCAGAGAGAGGAGGCATCATTATATACCTTTTTATCAGAGGATTTTTTAAACCTTTTTATTTCCATATCTCCCCAGAGGCCAGGCAGGCTGCTGTTGGGCTGGATCATAACTCATCTTCTTCCTCTGCTCAGTCCTGCTTCCTTTTCCTCCTCTCTCAGGTGTTGACTGCATGTCCTAAAACACATTTGTATCCTAAGCTCTGGCTCTTGGACAGCTCAACCTAGGACAACTGGTGTCAGGAGTAGTCTAAGAAAACAGATGATAAGATGCAGTTTGGGAGCTGAAAAGTTTGCTACCCTACCATCAGTGAGGCTCCATCACTATGATAGGTGGAACACAGATAGCTCCTGGCATGAGGTGGGTCCAGTTGTTGAAACTATAAATTGAGATGGGGCGCTGGTGGAGGGCAGTGCACTAGCTGGTGTGAGATATCAGGTGTTTGAAGAATATGGGGGAAATAGTAACTAAGGATAACATAATTGGGTGACTGTTGCTAAATTTAATTGAGGAACCATGCTCCAAAGAAGCTTAAACTGCCAACCAAGGGAGACCTGCTATGACTGGGTCAGACCCCTTTTTGGGGAAGGATGGGCTCTGGCATATAAATTGGACATTTAGTGATGCCTTGAAAGTTCCAGATTCCCAGATTCCCTTGAACTCTCTAAGCCTGCAGGAGTACTCCCTCCCCTTGCTTGAAGAAAATGCAAAGTCATCTTCCCACAAGTCAACATGGAATCCCTCCAGATTGCCCCTTGCCATCAACTCCTCTCCAGGCCACTAAACATAACCAGGATTAGTTACTAATCAATAAGTGGATTAGTGACTTAACTCAACCAGGGAAATGACTTGAGAGAGAGAGAGAGAGAAAGGAGAAAAGGGATGGCACCCCAAAGGAGCCGCAGATCTAACAGCACATACCATTGAGAATCTTGAGGGTACATGTGGGACTGGATTCCAAGGGGGACAGGAATTTGATATCCAAGCAAAGACTCCCAAAGATAGTCTGAACTCCTTCCTAGAAGCATGAAAAAGACAGAGGCCACACTAAGTGGCATAGAAATGCCAGAATTGCCATGGTAGCCAGTAGAAGAAGGTGTTCAAAGGTTGAGGGCAGCGGGCCTGCTGAAGTAGATATTTGGTGGAAAGTCC